AATAGAATAGAATAGAATAGAATAGAATAGAATAGAATAGAATAGAATGGGATGGAATGTGATGTGATGGGATGGGATGGGATGGGATGGGATGGAATGGAATGGAATGGAATGGAATGGAAAGGAATGGAATGGAATGGAATGGAATGGAATGGAATAAAACAGAATAGAACAGAATAGAATAGAATTCTTTATTGGCCAAGTGTGATTGGACACACAAGGAATTTGTCTTGGTGCAAATGCTCTCGGTGCACATAAAAGAAAAGACACATTTGTCAAGAGTCAAGAATCATCAGGTACAACACTTCATAATAGTCATACAGTACAATAAGCAATCAAATCATACTAGGAAATAGTCAATAAAAAGTTACAGCCCTACAGTCATAAGTGGGAGGGGGTGGGTAATAAGGAGTGATGAGAAGATTAATAGTAATAGTAGTGCAGACTTCGTAAATAGTTGAACAGTGTTGAGGGAATTATTTGTTTAGCAGAGTGATGGCTTTTGGGGAAAACTGTCCTTGTGTGTCTAGTTGTTCTGGTGTGCAATGCTCTATAGCGTTGTTTTGTGGGTAGGAGTTGAAACAGTTTATGTCCAGGATGTGAGGGGTCTGTGGATAATTTCACAGCCCTCTTTTTGACTCGTGCAGTATGCAGGTCCTCGATTGAAGGCAGGTTGGTAGCAATTGTTTTTTCTGCAGTCCTAATTACTCTCTGAAGTCTGTGTCTGTCTTGTTGGGTTGCAGAAGAAACAGTTTCAAATTCAGTCATGATTTGGGCATGAGGTGAGGGCGACTTGACTGGTTAAAGAAAGAGGCTCCCAGGTATATTCAGGGCATGGCTGAGTCCAAATGGGGTGGCCCTCTAACTCAGTGGCCCCCAACCTTTTGGGCACCAGGGACCAGTTCCGTGGAAAGAGGTTTCTCCATGAACCAGAGGGGGGAGTGGTTTTGCGTGGTGCCTACATCCTGTGGATGAGGCTTCGCTTGTTTTCGCAGCCTGGTTTCTGGGAATGTCACAGCCCGATGCCGGTAAATGGACCGCGGATGGAGACCCCAGCTCTAACTGCCCTCGGTCCCCTCCTTTGCCTTATTCTGCTCCCTTGTGTTTTTTCTTTGTACTTTTGCACAAATACAGTGGTGCTGTCACTCAGGAGTTATTTGTTTTTTGTCAGCTACAATTTAAAGTCCGTTTTTAAGTCCTATGACTAAGCAAGGCACCTCACCCCTGTCTTTTGACTTCTTTTTCCTAAAGGACAAAAGAGCAGAAGGCCCAAGCGTGGATCTTGTAAGACCTTACTAGATACTCTGCAGCTGAGTGAGGATGATGTTATCCGTTCAGTCGAATCTGACTCTTGGCCATTCTCTGGGGCCAGGTCTCTCCGCGTCTTCCAATCTTGCACTATTTCTTTGAGTTTTT